TCCATCTCGTCTCCCTCCCTCCCTCCCTTCATTAAGACAGACCCTCACCAGCTAAAACAAACATCTTCTACAAAAAGCTAAGATAATCTCCTTAAGAAAGTTAACAAAACGATAAATTTAGCTTCTTAACTGTTTACGGCTAAGTCCAGCTCAACAAGTGTGTGTGTGTGTGTGTGTGTGTGTGTGTGTGTGTGTGTGGGTGTGTGTGTGTGTGTGTGTGTGTGTGTGTGTGTGTGTGTGTGTGTGTGTGTGTGTGTGTGTGTGTGTGTGGGTGTGTGTGTGTGTGTGTGTGTGTATGTGTGTGTGTGTGTGTGTGTGTGTGTGTGTGTGTGTGTGTGTGTGTGTGTGTGGCGGCCAATGTTGTATCTATATAGTTAGTGTTCGGATAAAATACACGAGTCGTCCCTGAAAACCTGTACATAAAGCTGCTGTACATTGATCAGATGTAAGTTAAGCGTATGTACGTTAAGCAGATGTGCGTTAATCGGATGAACATTAACCAAATATAAGAAAACCGAATATAAGTTAACCGAATATAAGTTAACCGAATATAAGTTAACCGAATATAAGTTAACCGAATATAAGGTAACCGAATATAAGTTAACCGAATATAAGTTAACCGAATGTAAGGTAACCGAATATAAGTTAACCGAATATAAGTTAACCGAATATAAGTTAACCGAATATAAGTTAACCGAATATAAGTTAAACGGAACTAAGTGTATATATTTTAAACAGGTAAACTGAGTCGTCATTAAGCCCAGGTAAGAGAAGAAGGTCACGGAGGAATGTTTGAGTTGTGGTCAAGGTGTAGGTGACGTATGACTGTCGTTCTGTTGACAAATATTCCTCCTAGACTGACCTAAGTGATGTGTGTGTGTGTGTGTGTGTGTGTGTGTGTGTGTGTGTGTGTGTGTGTGTGTGTGTGTGTGTGTGTGTTTTGTATATCATGAGTGTTTTTTTGTTTTTCATTGTTTTTATTGACATACATACATACATACATACATACATACATACATACATACATACACCTGACGCGTCTCACCAACAACTATAATATGTAGTGTAAGTTGTGGCGCTGGACATAAAGGCCTGCTGGTGCTAGTGGTATTTTTTGTGGCGCCTGCCAACCTGTCTGTCTGCCTCTCTGCCACCTATCCTGTCTGTCTGTCTGCCTCTCTATCTGCCATCCTGTCTGCTTCTCCACCTGCCATCTTGTCTGCTTCTCCACCTGCCATCTTGTCCGCATCTCCACCTGCCATCCTGTCCGCATCTCCACCTGCCATCCTATCTGTCTACTTCTCTGCCACCTTCTCTGTCTGCCTCTCTACCTGCCATCCTATCTGTCTACTTCTCTGCCACCTTCTCTGTCTGCCTCTCTATCTGCCATCCCGCCTGCCTCTCTGACTGCTACCCTCCCTCATTATCCCCTTCCCTTCCTCCCTTCTTCCCTTCCTTCCTTCTTCATTTTCTTCTTCTTCTTATCCTCCTATTATCTTCTTTCTTCTCTACTGTTCTCCCTCTTCCTCCTCCTACCCTATCCCTCTTTCCACCAGTTCTCCTCTTCTTCACCTCCCCTTCCTCCTCCTCCTTCTTGCCAGGGCGAAGCGTAAGATAAGTTTAGTGTTTTATTATCAGAGTAAAGTGATGGATGGTTAAGCAACACACGAGGCTTTATGTATTATGTAGAGGCCTGGCCGCTGTCTGGCTCCTCCTACTGCAGGTAATTGTTCACATGATTATTTGTTAGATGGTGGTAGTTGTGGTAGATGGTGGTAGGGGAGTGTGTGCTTGGTGGTGTTGTTGGTGGTAGGGTTGAATAGTGCAGTGAAGTTAAGTGCTAATTTATTGGTGGTGGTGTGTTAGTCTGAACCTGAGTCAATCCCGAACATTGACACACACACACACACACAGACACACACACACACACACACACACACACACACACACACACTGCCCTCATAACAAACTTACACAGACTGGCCGTGCTGGCTCTCAGCACTGTCCGTGTGTTCTTACCTGTAATAAAAGGTTTAGGTGGCATATAGAGCAGAGCCAGGTAATGTATGTGTGTGTGTGTGTGTGTGTATAAAACTGTAATGACTTAAAAATTGTTTCCTGGTGGGGGAAGGTCTAGCCGCTGATTGGTTGGTTTTGAAGAATGTCTTAAAAGTCGTGGTGGTTGGCAGGTATTTATTTTTATTTGTTTTTGTTGATTTTTATTTGTTTATATGAAAGTCCACACACACACACACACACACACACACACACACACACACACACACACACACACACATACACACACATACACACACACACATACACACACACATATACACACCACACACACACACACACACACACACACACACACACACACACACACACACACACACACACACACACACACACACACACACACACACACACACACACACACAGACTAAATTTAGCCCAGGTACGGTGAGATACACAACAACAGGTAATGGACAGTGTGCCGCTGGGTTCACTCTGGTTGAACCCTCCTCGCTGTGGCTCCACCCACCCTTAGCCCCCGTCCGGCTTCTTCTCCTTCCCTCCCTCCTTCCTTACCTCTACCCTCCCTCCTTCCCTTCTACCCTCTCTCCTTCCTTATCTCCAACCCTTCTCCCTTCCCCCAAACATCCCCTCAGGCCTCTTCCCTATTTACCTTCATCGCTCCTCCCATCTCTCCTTCCTTACCTCCATCCCTCCTTCCTTCCTTCCCTCGATCATTCCTTACCTCCAACCCTCCTTCCCTCCTTACCTTCTACCCCCCCCCCTCCACCCCCACCATTGCTCCCCTCACAGTCGTGACCTCACATCACTGAGCCAAAACACAGGTGGAGGGTGTGAAACATCCAAATGATAGTATGCAGTGCTCTCTCTCTCTCTCTCTCTCTCTCTCTCTCTCTCTCTCCTCTCTCTCTCTCTCTCTCATGGAGTGTTGCTGGAATAATACATATATATACAGTATTTGTGTGTATAATAATAATAACAATAATAATAATAATAATAATAATAATATTATTATTATCGTGTAATATTATTAATATTATTATTATTATTATTATTATTATTATTATTATTACTACTACTATCATTAATAACTCATATCATTGTGTGATCGTTTGGTGACACCGCCACGGTGGTAGTGTTAGTGGTGGTGGTTGGGTGGAAGGGGTGGCGGTGTGTGGTGGTGGCAATAATGAGTAGAAGAAACGATGTGAAGAAAGAAGAATATAAAAGAAGGAAGGAAAAGATGAAGACCATTACGAAATAAACTTTGAAAATTCCTAGACAAAATTTTCTTCTCCGTCGTCCAGAAATTACCTGAGAAAAAACTTCTATCTTCCCTCTCCCTCCCCTCACCCTCCCTACCTCCCTCACCCTCTCTCCCTCCCCTCACCCTCCCTACCTCCCTGCATTACCGCCCCTCCCTCACCCTCTCCTCCCTCCCTCACTCTCTCAAGTTCCTCAGCAATGAAGTTATGGAGGGAGATAGGAGTTGATCTTTGCTCCCCTTTGTGACGCGTCAACCCTGATCTTTTGAACCTTAACTTTCCATCATGAATTAAACATATGTCTGTATGTCTCTGTTATTGTATGAAGGACCCCCCTCCCCTCCC